AGAAATTAAATTCACTCACAATAGTTTCACAAGTTCACAAGAGTTGCACACAAGAGAGTTAGAGTAGCACTAAACCAGGTGGAAGGAAAGAGGAGCACGAGAGGGAAGGTCCCAAGGAGTCCCCAACCAAAGAAAACTCCATGCCACACAATTCCCTTCCCCATAGGCAACCCAACTTTGACATTTGTCACTATCCCAACCTCCACAATCCACCTCAACCCAACTTGGCCACACTTGCCAACCTGGTTTGGTTTCGCCCAACCAATTGGCAGCAACTACAGTAGTAGTGACGAGTTTCTCAACCCCCAAAAGTCTGTACCCCATATTGAGTCAACCCCACAACTCTCCATGGTCACCACAACCAAATATCAAAAGCATACGAACTCCAACGTTCGTAACTTTCTTGTTCGTGCTCCGATTGAAGTGATTCTTGGTTCGTCGGAAAGCTCTTGAGGAGTGGAGTCACTTCAGATATCTGCTCAAGCCAAATAACATTCACACACACTCAGAAAATCCAAACCGCACAAAACACAAATTCTTGCACACGCTCACACCACGCATGCAATGCACGAACATGTGATGGGAGGCAGACAGACGTGAATGCATATGATTGCATCACACAACAAACTCCCCCTCTGGCTGCCAACCATCATCCCACATGCCATAGCTCAAGCATGCACCCTCAATGCACACTCATCCCAGCAAGCTTCATTCACTTCCAACACTCATCCAAATGGACAATCATCTCCTTCCAACATCCCACTTCCAACATCTCCTCTTTGCTCAAATCTGCAGCACCCTCTGCAGCCTCTGTTTCAAAACACTATCCACCAAACCATCTCATTGCAGCTCCATAGCAATATGCTATCTCATCCTCATCCATCTGCTCAGCCACACTTCCAGCCGGTACCACACTTTGCGTGCCATAGCTCGCATAGGTCAGCCTGTTAGGAGGGTGCACATCCCTCCTAGGACAGTCAGCCGGACATGCGGCACCTTGTGGAGCACCTTGCTGCTGCTGCTGCTGCTGCTGCGGCTCCTCCACCTCAGGTTCTCCCCCATCCTCAGTCACCCCAGAAATCTCCTCCTCTGAGACAGTGACCTGCACTTGCCTCAAAGGCCGCTGCACCTCATCAGCCTCAATGATCAGCGGTGTAGTAGGAAGCTTCTGCTGCTGCTGCTTCCACTCCTTGTAGTACAAGGACTCAAGGAACTTCACATCCCTCGACACAGTCAGCTGCTGGCTGGTCAAGTCCCAAATCAGCCAGCCCTTGTGATCCTTTGCAAGCCCCAAGTGCACACCCCATCTCCCAGAAGCTTCCAGTTTTCCCCTCTTCTCCTTAGGCACATGAAACACCACCATACAGCCATAAGTTCTCAGCATGTTGACTGCAGGCACACTCCCATACCACTTGGTGTAGGGGACCCATTGCTTGTCCCCCACAGTCGCCAGCACCCGGTTCTTCACAACAACGACCTGCCGCAGTGCTGTCACCCAAAACGGATCCGGCAGCCCTGCATGCCCAAGGAGAGTGCGAGCACCTTCCTGCAGGGTCCGGTTGAACCGCTCAGCCACGCCATTCTGCTGAGGGTTGTAAGGCACTGTGAGCTGATGCTGGATCCCCTTCCGCTTCAGCTCCTTCTCAAAATCAGCGCCGATGAACTCTCCTCCGTTGTCAGTGCGGATCACCTTCACCTTGTGTCCGCTCTCCCTTTGTGCTCTCGGCATCCACTCCTTAAGAACAGCCGCTGCCACCTCCCCCTTAGTCTTGAGAGGGTACACCCACACCGCACGCGTGTGGTCGTCCACAATTGTCAAGAAGTAGCGGCTGCCCGAGAGAGAAAGGGCCCTCGTGGGGCCCACCACATCCATGTGCACTAGTGCAAGTGGTGCCTTTGCTGGTCCTGTGCTGCTGCTGAAGGGAAACTTCGTGAATTTGGTCTCAAGGCAGGTAGGGCAGCTCCCAATCTCCTTTGCTCCCCCCTTCACCTCCAGCCCCTTCAAGCACCCATCCTTTACCAACTTCTGCAGCATAGGAATGTTCACATGGCACAGCCTCTCATGCCACGTCTCCCAATCGGCCTCACCACTCCCAGACGAAGCCTTTGCCCATGCAGCCGTTGCATCCACACCAGCAAGCACCTCACCATGTGATTGCTGTGGCTGCTGCACCTTCTTGACTGTATCCAGGGCCCCAGCAGTTGGTGCAATCTCCTCTCCTCCCGTAGTTGCCTTAGCCGCTGCCGCTGCCTTTGCCGTTGCTGGAGGTTTCCCATTCCAAGGGATGATGGGCAGCTGCCACAGGTCCTTGATGCAGCTGCTCTTCTCCTCCAGATTCCACAGCAGCAACTTCCCAAGCTTTGCACGGCAGCTGGTTGGGCCGAACGTAGCTTTGGCCTTGCTTTTCTGCAGCCGGCGCACAGAGAGGAGGTTAGCGGATAAGCCTTCAACCAACAGCACATTTCCCAGCCCCACAAGCCCCCCATTAGCTCCCATAACCTTGGCATTCCCAACACCAATCACAGGGAGCAAGGCACCTGAAGCGGCAGCCACAAACTTTATCTTCCCAGGGGGCTTCACCTCATCAAGCAAATCTGCCCGTGGAGTCATGTGACTCGTGCAACTTGAATCGATCACCCAGTGAGTGAGGGGGTGCATCACAACCTTCCCAACTGAACCCACATCACCCCCACTCCCTTGCACGTCCTCAACCATGAGGAACATACCAGGGTCGGCTTTACCTTGTGCACCATCACCTTGTGCACCTGAACCTTGCACAGCACCACCTCGTGCACGTTCACCACTTGGCGGCTTCATGCCTGGAGGCGCCCATCCTTCAGGCCGGCTGAAACACTTGAACCATGGGTGTCCAGCCTTCTTGCAGTACCAGCACGCACCCTCCATTCGGGTACTCCCCCTGCCACCAGAGCTCCCATGCCCCTCATTGTAGTCACCTCGGCCTCTCCCTCTGCCAAAGCCTCTCCCACGGCCTCGGCCTCTCCCTCCCCCTCTCCCTCTGCTGCCTCCTGCAGCTCCATACCCCTCAGCAGTTTTGTTGGCAGCACCACCTCCAGTGTGGCGCCTGCGGAAGTCCTCCTGCAGGATCTGCTGCCGTAGCCACTCAGGCGTCCATTTGTCCTGCTGAACGTTGAGGGTGGGGATGAGGTTGTCCCACGAGTTGTCGAGCACCGAGATGATCTTGGTGCACTGTTGCATCTGCGACACTTCGCTGCCCGCCGCTGCTATCCTCGCATAGGTGTCCTTGATCTTGTCAAGGACCGGCTTCACATCATCTCCCGGCCGCATGGAGAGGGCAGCCAACTCCTTCTCCAATACGATCACCATCGGCAGCGTGTTGGGTTGAACCACGTCGCGTAGCAACTTCCACGCCTTTGGTCCCGAGTCATCGAGCTCCACCAAATCCTTGATATGCTGGAACATGTCGTTGTTGACCGACTGCAGAATCAAGTCGTACAGCACCGCGCTCTTCTCAATCCACCGATCGCGGGCGTCTCCTTCCCCCGGCATCTTCTCCTCTCCCATTGCAATTTTCAGCAGCTTGTAGCGCTTGAAGGCGCTCCGCATCCGCCCGCTCCATTCCTCGTAGTTGGAGCCATCCAAAGCTTCGATCTTGGATGGTGGCGGTTCACTCCTCTTCTCAGCTGCATCTCCACTCCCTTGATTCATCTCCTCTGCTCCCAATCAGAGGTTTCAGCTCCCCCCTTTGCTGGTCACAATGTAGATCCACACAATCTTCACAAGTGACGGCGCCAACAAAATTTCGGCAGAGTTTCCCCTTAGCGGAAGTCACATCCAACCTCCAGAACTCCACTTAGGCACGCCCACAGGCCATGGTGGGTCTAGGAGGGTCTTCACACTTCAGTAGACTCTCCACAAAGTCCTTCATCAGCTCTGATACCACTTGTTAGAGACTAAGGATCGAGTCTGTGAAGATTAGGAGCCTAAATTTCTCAAAATCGTTGGCTTGAAATTCTGGACAGAAACCGCGACTTCACAAGAAACGTTGTCGACGAAAAGTGCACCGTTAGAATCGTCTCAAACTCGAGTATGTTATAGCCCTTGTTTGTGGCTATCATTCCCAATTTGAATCGTATCCAAAGGTGAAGTAAATCTCGAGTTATGCTTCTCGGCGCACCAGGGGGTATGCTGCCACATAGAAATTAAATTCACTCACAATAGTTTCACAAGTTCACAAGAGTTGCACACAAGAGAGTTAGAGTAGCACTAAACCAGGTGGAAGGAAAGAGGAGCACGAGAGGGAAGGTCCCAAGGAGTCCCCAACCAAAGAAAACTCCATGCCACACAATTCCCTTCCCCATAGGCAACCCAACTTTGACATTTGTCACTATCCCAACCTCCACAATCCACCTCAACCCAACTTGGCCACACTTGCCAACCTGGTTTGGTTTCGCCCAACCAATTGGCAGCAACTACAGTAGTAGTGACGAGTTTCTCAACCCCCAAAAGTCTGTACCCCATATTGAGTCAACCCCACAACTCTCCATGGTCACCACAACCAAATATCAAAAGCATACGAACTCCAACGTTCGTAACTTTCTTGTTCGTGCTCCGATTGAAGTGATTCTTGGTTCGTCGGAAAGCTCTTGAGGAGTGGAGTCACTTCAGATATCTGCTCAAGCCAAATAACATTCACACACACTCAGAAAATCCAAACCGCACAAAACACAAATTCTTGCACACGCTCACACCACGCATGCAATGCACGAACATGTGATGGGAGGCAGACAGACGTGAATGCATATGATTGCATCACACAACAAACTCCCCCTCTGGCTGCCAACCATCATCCCACATGCCATAGCTCAAGCATGCACCCTCAATGCACACTCATCCCAGCAAGCTTCATTCACTTCCAACACTCATCCAAATGGACAATCATCTCCTTCCAACATCCCACTTCCAACATCTCCTCTTTGCTCAAATCTGCAGCACCCTCTGCAGCCTCTGTTTCAAAACACTATCCACCAAACCATCTCATTGCAGCTCCATAGCAATATGCTATCTCATCCTCATCCATCTGCTCAGCCACACTTCCAGCCGGTACCACACTTTGCGTGCCATAGCTCGCATAGGTCAGCCTGTTAGGAGGGTGCACATCCCTCCTAGGACAGTCAGCCGGACATGCGGCACCTTGTGGAGCACCTTGCTGCTGCTGCTGCTGCTGCTGCGGCTCCTCCACCTCAGGTTCTCCCCCATCCTCAGTCACCCCAGAAATCTCCTCCTCTGAGACAGTGACCTGCACTTGCCTCAAAGGCCGCTGCACCTCATCAGCCTCAATGATCAGCGGTGTAGTAGGAAGCTTCTGCTGCTGCTGCTTCCACTCCTTGTAGTACAAGGACTCAAGGAACTTCACATCCCTCGACACAGTCAGCTGCTGGCTGGTCAAGTCCCAAATCAGCCAGCCCTTGTGATCCTTTGCAAGCCCCAAGTGCACACCCCATCTCCCAGAAGCTTCCAGTTTTCCCCTCTTCTCCTTAGGCACATGAAACACCACCATACAGCCATAAGTTCTCAGCATGTTGACTGCAGGCACACTCCCATACCACTTGGTGTAGGGGACCCATTGCTTGTCCCCCACAGTCGCCAGCACCCGGTTCTTCACAACAACGACCTGCCGCAGTGCTGTCACCCAAAACGGATCCGGCAGCCCTGCATGCCCAAGGAGAGTGCGAGCACCTTCCTGCAGGGTCCGGTTGAACCGCTCAGCCACGCCATTCTGCTGAGGGTTGTAAGGCACTGTGAGCTGATGCTGGATCCCCTTCCGCTTCAGCTCCTTCTCAAAATCAGCGCCGATGAACTCTCCTCCGTTGTCAGTGCGGATCACCTTCACCTTGTGTCCGCTCTCCCTTTGTGCTCTCGGCATCCACTCCTTAAGAACAGCCGCTGCCACCTCCCCCTTAGTCTTGAGAGGGTACACCCACACCGCACGCGTGTGGTCGTCCACAATTGTCAAGAAGTAGCGGCTGCCCGAGAGAGAAAGGGCCCTCGTGGGGCCCACCACATCCATGTGCACTAGTGCAAGTGGTGCCTTTGCTGGTCCTGTGCTGCTGCTGAAGGGAAACTTCGTGAATTTGGTCTCAAGGCAGGTAGGGCAGCTCCCAATCTCCTTTGCTCCCCCCTTCACCTCCAGCCCCTTCAAGCACCCATCCTTTACCAACTTCTGCAGCATAGGAATGTTCACATGGCACAGCCTCTCATGCCACGTCTCCCAATCGGCCTCACCACTCCCAGACGAAGCCTTTGCCCATGCAGCCGTTGCATCCACACCAGCAAGCACCTCACCATGTGATTGCTGTGGCTGCTGCACCTTCTTGACTGTATCCAGGGCCCCAGCAGTTGGTGCAATCTCCTCTCCTCCCGTAGTTGCCTTAGCCGCTGCCGCTGCCTTTGCCGTTGCTGGAGGTTTCCCATTCCAAGGGATGATGGGCAGCTGCCACAGGTCCTTGATGCAGCTGCTCTTCTCCTCCAGATTCCACAGCAGCAACTTCCCAAGCTTTGCACGGCAGCTGGTTGGGCCGAACGTAGCTTTGGCCTTGCTTTTCTGCAGCCGGCGCACAGAGAGGAGGTTAGCGGATAAGCCTTCAACCAACAGCACATTTCCCAGCCCCACAAGCCCCCCATTAGCTCCCATAACCTTGGCATTCCCAACACCAATCACAGGGAGCAAGGCACCTGAAGCGGCAGCCACAAACTTTATCTTCCCAGGGGGCTTCACCTCATCAAGCAAATCTGCCCGTGGAGTCATGTGACTCGTGCAACTTGAATCGATCACCCAGTGAGTGAGGGGGTGCATCACAACCTTCCCAACTGAACCCACATCACCCCCACTCCCTTGCACGTCCTCAACCATGAGGAACATACCAGGGTCGGCTTTACCTTGTGCACCATCACCTTGTGCACCTGAACCTTGCACAGCACCACCTCGTGCACGTTCACCACTTGGCGGCTTCATGCCTGGAGGCGCCCATCCTTCAGGCCGGCTGAAACACTTGAACCATGGGTGTCCAGCCTTCTTGCAGTACCAGCACGCACCCTCCATTCGGGTACTCCCCCTGCCACCAGAGCTCCCATGCCCCTCATTGTAGTCACCTCGGCCTCTCCCTCTGCCAAAGCCTCTCCCACGGCCTCGGCCTCTCCCTCCCCCTCTCCCTCTGCTGCCTCCTGCAGCTCCATACCCCTCAGCAGTTTTGTTGGCAGCACCACCTCCAGTGTGGCGCCTGCGGAAGTCCTCCTGCAGGATCTGCTGCCGTAGCCACTCAGGCGTCCATTTGTCCTGCTGAACGTTGAGGGTGGGGATGAGGTTGTCCCACGAGTTGTCGAGCACCGAGATGATCTTGGTGCACTGTTGCATCTGCGACACTTCGCTGCCCGCCGCTGCTATCCTCGCATAGGTGTCCTTGATCTTGTCAAGGACCGGCTTCACATCATCTCCCGGCCGCATGGAGAGGGCAGCCAACTCCTTCTCCAATACGATCACCATCGGCAGCGTGTTGGGTTGAACCACGTCGCGTAGCAACTTCCACGCCTTTGGTCCCGAGTCATCGAGCTCCACCAAATCCTTGATATGCTGGAACATGTCGTTGTTGACCGACTGCAGAATCAAGTCGTACAGCACCGCGCTCTTCTCAATCCACCGATCGCGGGCGTCTCCTTCCCCCGGCATCTTCTCCTCTCCCATTGCAATTTTCAGCAGCTTGTAGCGCTTGAAGGCGCTCCGCATCCGCCCGCTCCATTCCTCGTAGTTGGAGCCATCCAAAGCTTCGATCTTGGATGGTGGCGGTTCACTCCTCTTCTCAGCTGCATCTTCCACTCCCTTGATTCATCTCCTCTGCTCCCAATCAGAGGTTTCAGCTCCCCCCTTTGCTGGTCACAATGTAGATCCACACAATCTTCACAAGTGACGGCGCCAACAAAATTTCGGCAGAGTTTCCCCTTAGCGGAAGTCACATCCAACCTCCAGAACTCCACTTAGGCACGCCCACAGGCCATGGTGGGTCTAGGAGGGTCTTCACACTTCAGTAGACTCTCCACAAAGTCCTTCATCAGCTCTGATACCACTTGTTAGAGACTAAGGATCGAGTCTGTGAAGATTAGGAGCCTAAATTTCTCAAAATCGTTGGCTTGAAATTCTGGACAGAAACCGCGACTTCACAAGAAACGTTGTCGACGAAAAGTGCACCGTTAGAATCGTCTCAAACTCGAGTATGTTATAGCCCTTGTTTGTGGCTATCATTCCCAATTTGAATCGTATCCAAAGGTGAAGTAAATCTCGAGTTATGCTTCTCGGCGCACCAGGGGGTATGCTGCCACATAGAAATTAAATTCACTCACAATAGTTTCACAAGTTCACAAGAGTTGCACACAAGAGAGTTAGAGTAGCACTAAACCAGGTGGAAGGAAAGAGGAGCACGAGAGGGAAGGTCCCAAGGAGTCCCCAACCAAAGAAAACTCCATGCCACACAATTCCCTTCCCCATAGGCAACCCAACTTTGACATTTGTCACTATCCCAACCTCCACAATCCACCTCAACCCAACTTGGCCACACTTGCCAACCTGGTTTGGTTTCGCCCAACCAATTGGCAGCAACTACAGTAGTAGTGACGAGTTTCTCAACCCCCAAAAGTCTGTACCCCATATTGAGTCAACCCCACAACTCTCCATGGTCACCACAACCAAATATCAAAAGCATACGAACTCCAACGTTCGTAACTTTCTTGTTCGTGCTCCGATTGAAGTGATTCTTGGTTCGTCGGAAAGCTCTTGAGGAGTGGAGTCACTTCAGATATCTGCTCAAGCCAAATAACATTCACACACACTCAGAAAATCCAAACCGCACAAAACACAAATTCTTGCACACGCTCACACCACGCATGCAATGCACGAACATGTGATGGGAGGCAGACAGACGTGAATGCATATGATTGCATCACACAACAAACTCCCCCTCTGGCTGCCAACCATCATCCCACATGCCATAGCTCAAGCATGCACCCTCAATGCACACTCATCCCAGCAAGCTTCATTCACTTCCAACACTCATCCAAATGGACAATCATCTCCTTCCAACATCCCACTTCCAACATCTCCTCTTTGCTCAAATCTGCAGCACCCTCTGCAGCCTCTGTTTCAAAACACTATCCACCAAACCATCTCATTGCAGCTCCATAGCAATATGCTATCTCATCCTCATCCATCTGCTCAGCCACACTTCCAGCCGGTACCACACTTTACGTGCCATAGCTCGCATAGGTCAGCCTGTTAGGAGGGTGCACATCCCTCCTAGGACAGTCAGCCGGACATGCGGCACCTTGTGGAGCACCTTGCTGCTGCTGCTGCTGCTGCGGCTCCTCCACCTCAGGTTCTCCCCCATCCTCAGTCACCCCAGAAATCTCCTCCTCTGAGACAGTGACCTGCACTTGCCTCAAAGGCCGCTGCACCTCATCAGCCTCAATGATCAGCGGTGTAGTAGGAAGCTTCTGCTGCTGCTGCTTCCACTCCTTGTAGTACAAGGACTCAAGGAACTTCACATCCCTCGACACAGTCAGCTGCTGGCTGGTCAAGTCCCAAATCAGCCAGCCCTTGTGATCCTTTGCAAGCCCCAAGTGCACACCCCATCTCCCAGAAGCTTCCAGTTTTCCCCTCTTCTCCTTAGGCACATGAAACACCACCATACAGCCATAAGTTCTTAGCATCTTGACTGCAGGCACACTCCCATACCACTTGGTGTAGGGGACCCATTGCTTGTCCCCCACAGTCGCCAGCACCCGGTTCTTCACAACAACGACCTGCCGCAGTGCTGTCACCCAAAACGGATCCGGCAGCCCTGCATGCCCAAGGAGAGTGCGAGCACCTTCCTGCAGGGTCCGGTTGAACCGCTCAGCCACGCCATTCTGCTGAGGGTTGTAAGGCACTGTGAGCTGATGCTGGATCCCCTTCCGCTTCAGCTCCTTCTCAAAATCAGCGCCGATGAACTCTCCTCCGTTGTCAGTGCGGATCACCTTCACCTTGTGTCCGCTCTCCCTTTGTGCTCTCGGCATCCACTCCTTAAGAACAGCCGCTGCCACCTCCCCCTTAGTCTTGAGAGGGTACACCCACACCGCACGCGTGTGGTCGTCCACAATTGTCAAGAAGTAGCGGCTGCCCGAGAGAGAAAGGGCCCTCGTGGGGCCCACCACATCCATGTGCACTAGTGCAAGTGGTGCCTTTGCTGGTCCTGTGCTGCTGCTGAAGGGAAACTTCGTGAATTTGGTCTCAAGGCAGGTAGGGCAGCTCCCAATCTCCTTTGCTCCCCCCTTCACCTCCAGCCCCTTCAAGCACCCATCCTTTACCAACTTCTGCAGCATAGGAATGTTCACATGGCACAGCCTCTCATGCCACGTCTCCCAATCGGCCTCACCACTCCCAGACGAAGCCTTTGCCCATGCAGCCGTTGCATCCACACCAGCAAGCACCTCACCATGTGATTGCTGTGGCTGCTGCACCTTCTTGACTGTATCCAGGGCCCCAGCAGTTGGTGCAATCTCCTCTCCTCCCGTAGTTGCCTTAGCCGCTGCCGCTGCCTTTGCCGTTGCTGGAGGTTTCCCATTCCAAGGGATGATGGGCAGCTGCCACAGGTCCTTGATGCAGCTGCTCTTCTCCTCCAGATTCCACAGCAGCAACTTCCCAAGCTTTGCACGGCAGCTGGTTGGGCCGAACGTAGCTTTGGCCTTGCTTTTCTGCAGCCGGCGCACAGAGAGGAGGTTAGCGGATAAGCCTTCAACCAACAGCACATTTCCCAGCCCCACAAGCCCCCCATTAGCTCCCATAACCTTGGCATTCCCAACACCAATCACAGGGAGCAAGGCACCTGAAGCGGCAGCCACAAACTTTATCTTCCCAGGGGGCTTCACCTCATCAAGCAAATCTGCCCGTGGAGTCATGTGACTCGTGCAACTTGAATCGATCACCCAGTGAGTGAGGGGGTGCATCACAACCTTCCCAACTGAACCCACATCACCCCCACTCCCTTGCACGTCCTCAACCATGAGGAACATACCAGGGTCGGCTTTACCTTGTGCACCATCACCTTGTGCACCTGAACCTTGCACAGCACCACCTCGTGCACGTTCACCACTTGGCGGCTTCATGCCTGGAGGCGCCCATCCTTCAGGCCGGCTGAAACACTTGAACCATGGGTGTCCAGCCTTCTTGCAGTACCAGCACGCACCCTCCATTCGGGTACTCCCCCTGCCACCAGAGCTCCCATGCCCCTCATTGTAGTCACCTCGGCCTCTCCCTCTGCCAAAGCCTCTCCCACGGCCTCGGCCTCTCCCTCCCCCTCTCCCTCTGCTGCCTCCTGCAGCTCCATACCCCTCAGCAGTTTTGTTGGCAGCACCACCTCCAGTGTGGCGCCTGCGGAAGTCCTCCTGCAGGATCTGCTGCCGTAGCCACTCAGGCGTCCATTTGTCCTGCTGAACGTTGAGGGTGGGGATGAGGTTGTCCCACGAGTTGTCGAGCACCGAGATGATCTTGGTGCACTGTTGCATCTGCGACACTTCGCTGCCCGCCGCTGCTATCCTCGCATAGGTGTCCTTGATCTTGTCAAGGACCGGCTTCACATCATCTCCCGGCCGCATGGAGAGGGCAGCCAACTCCTTCTCCAATAGGATCACCATCGGCAGCGTGTTGGGTTGAACCACGTCGCGTAGCAACTTCCACGCCTTTGGTCCCGAGTCATCGAGCTCCACCAAATCCTTGATATGCTGGAACATGTCGTTGTTGACCGACTGTAGAATCAAGTCGTACAGCACCGCGCTCTTCTCAATCCACCGATCGCGGGCGTCTCCTTCCCCCGGCATCTTCTCCTCTCCCATTGCAATTTTCAGCAGCTTGTAGCGCTTGAAGGCGCTCCGCATCCGCCCGCTCCATTCCTCGTAGTTGGAGCCATCCAAAGCTTCGATCTTGGATGGTGGCGGTTCACTCCTCTTCTCAGCTGCATCTCCACTCCCTTGATTCATCTCCTCTGCTCCCAATCAGAGGTTTCAGCTCCCCCCTTTGCTGGTCACAATGTAGATCCACACAATCTTCACAAGTGACGGCGCCAACAAAATTTCGGCAGAGTTTCCCCTTAGCGGAAGTCACATCCAACCTCCAGAACTCCACTTAGGCATGCCCACAGGCCATGGTGGGTCTAGGAGGGTCTTCACACTTCAGTAGACTCTCCACAAAGTCCTTCATCAGCTCTGATACCACTTGTTAGAGACTAAGGATCGAGTCTGTGAAGATTAGGAGCCTAAATTTCTCAAAATCGTTGGCTTGAAATTCTGGACAGAAACCGCGACTTCACAAGAAACGTTGTCGACAAAAAGTGCACCGTTAGAATCGTCTCAAACTCGAGTATGTTATAGCCCTTGTTTGTGGCTATCATTCCCAATTTGAATCGTATCCAAAGGTGAAGTAAATCTCGAGTTATGCTTCTCGGCGCACCAGGGGGTATGCTGCCACATAGAAATTAAATTCACTCACAATAGTTTCACAAGTTCACAAGAGTTGCACACAAGAGAGTTAGAGTAGCACTAAACCAGGTGGAAGGAAAGAGGAGCACGAGAGGGAAGGTCCCAAGGAGTCCCCAACCAAAGAAAACTCCATGCCACACAATTCCCTTCCCCATAGGCAACCCAACTTTGACATTTGTCACTATCCCAACCTCCACAATCCACCTCAACCCAACTTGGCCACACTTGCCAACCTGGTTTGGTTTCGCCCAACCAATTGGCAGCAACTACAGTAGTAGTGACGAGTTTCTCAACCCCCAAAAGTCTGTACCCCATATTGAGTCAACCCCACAACTCTCCATGGTCACCACAACCAAATATCAAAAGCATACGAACTCCAACGTTCGTAACTTTCTTGTTCGTGCTCCGATTGAAGTGATTCTTGGTTCGTCGGAAAGCTCTTGAGGAGTGGAGTCACTTCAGATATCTGCTCAAGCCAAATAACATTCACACACACTCAGAAAATCCAAACCGCACAAAACACAAATTCTTGCACACGCTCACACCACGCATGCAATGCACGAACATGTGATGGGAGGCAGACAGACGTGAATGCATATGATTGCATCACACAACAGGAGGGACGTAGTGACATCCGGTGTGTGCCAGGGACTGGTGGCGAACGCTCACGCGAAGTACGGCGACTGGTGGAAGTAGTACGAATAGGGGACTCAGGACGGGACACAGGCGATACGGGGCGAGACCCAGGCTGACGACGCTCTGTGAGACCGCCTGTAGGTCCAGTGTAGGGAGAAGGACGAGGAAGTGGCGAAGGAGGCGGTGGCTGTGACAGCGACTGGACCGGCGGCGAACACTCTACAGAGGGAGGGGGACAAGGTGGAGGTGATTGACCAAGAACCTGCTGAAGGAGTGGAACAAAGTACGGCCGCGGCCGTGAGGCGCCCCCTGCAGGAGCAGAGACAGCACCAGAACCTCCAGCAGCTCCAGCAGCACCCCCAGTACCACCAACGCCCGGGTCTGCGGCACCAGCAGCAGCTCCAACGCCCGGGTCCGCAGCACTAGCAGCACCTCCAACGCTCGGGTCCATAGCACCAGCAGCAGCTCCAACGCCCGGGTCCGCAGCACCAGCAGCAGCTCCAACGCCCGGGTCCGCAGCACCAGCAGCAGGGTCCGCGACACTAGGAGCGCCACTCCTGAAACTGCAGCGCCGTGCGTACCACTCACGAAGACGCTGGGGAGAGGGCAGCTCCCGCCTGGGCGAGGAAGCACGAGCACCAGCTCCAGCAGCACCCCGCCTGAGGCTGCAGTACTGTAAGTACCACTCACGCAGCTGTTGGGAGGAGAGAGCTCCTCCAGGCGTAGCACTCCTAGGCTCAGCACCCCCAGACTCAACACCAGCAGGCTCCGTACGCCCAGGCTCAGCACCCACAGACTCCGCACCCCCAGGCTCAGCACCCCCACGCTCAGCACCCCCGGACTCTGCACCCCCAGGCTCAGCAGACTCAGGCGCAGCACCCCGAGGAGGACGAGAGTCAACACCTACCTCGACAGGCTCAACCGGGTCTACCTGGGACACACCTGAGGGAGCGGCACCCTGAGGGGGGAGGGGGTCTACTACAGTAGCACCTGGCACGTGGAAGAGAGGCGGGGGAGGGAGCGGGGCAGTGCGGTTGGGGAAGAGGCGGTAGAAGGGTACCGACTCGTCAAAGGTGACGTCCTGAGAGGCGAGGACACGGCGCGAGGCGGCGTGGTAAAACTGCCAACCAGATGCGTCCGGGACAAAGCGGAGGAAGACACACGGAACAGCACGAGAGGAGAGCTTGCCCGCAGACGTATCGCGAACAAAAGTCCGAGATCCCCAGACTCTGAAACGCGACACATTGCCAACCTCTCCCGTCCAACGCAGTGTCGGGAAAGTCTCCGGAAAGGAGACACGAGGCCAGAGGTTGAGCTGATGCGCAGCGTATCGGACCGCAAACGGCCACAGAAAGTGGGGGCCAGCCGCATGGATCAAGGAGGTACGACTGACCTCCATGATCAAGCCAATGCGGTGCTCAGCAACCCCATTCTGCTGTGGAGAGGCCGGAAGCGTGAACGACTGGCGGATGCCGTGCTCCGCACAGTAGGCTGCCAAGAGGTCGGAGGAGAACTCACCACCTCTGTCAGAGTGCAAGCGCAGGACAGGAAAGTCCAAGTGGAAACGCTCGCTGAGCTGGAGACAAGAAGCGCTGATCCAAGGGATCAAAACATCAGGGACCTCACCCTTGGTGCGCAAGGGGAAGACCGTGGTGTAGCGAGAGTAGTCGTCAACAACTATCAGGAAGTACCTCTCCTGACCCTGACCACGGACGCGGGCTGGGCCCCACGCGTCCATGTGGAGCGTCTGCAAGGGAGCAATCGTCGCGGGAAACGAGGAGGAGTGAGGAGCGGCACGCTGCCGCCCCTCGACACAGGGAAGATACGGAGGAGCAGGTGAGGGTGGGAGGGGAGGGAGAACCCTAGGAAGACCAGAGACAAGGTAGCGTTTGTGCATTACCCGAAGGCGCTGCATGGACGGGTGACCAAGGCGGTGGTGCCAGAGGACTGTCTCGTGCGTTAGAGAGCGGCACGAGCAGGGGGTTGACAGCTAACCTGACGTAGACGCAGACGCAGCTACCTGAGGGGACTTAGTAGTCAGTGTGTACAGGTCCGACCCCGGCTGCCGTGTGAAGGTCGCCAGGTGACGGCCCGTCCGAGCACACGTGAAGTGGGTCACGCGCTCGTAGGCAGGGGTGAACTGGTGAACACCCCTGTCCTGGAGCGCACTACCCGCCACCAAGTTCGTAGAGAACGAGGGGAGGAAGAGACCGGACAGTGTGCCCGACGGGACGACCGGACAGGGGAGGACAGTGGAGGAGGTCGCAAGGACTGGACCCCCAGAGGGGTCAGCGAGAGAGAATGCAACGGGCCGAGCAAGCTGCTCAAGAGCCGTGCGGTCACGAAAGAAACAGCGGGAGGCCTCTGAGTCTAGTGTAAAGGTGTGCAGTGCCTCAGTCGACTCACTAACAGGGGACGTAGACACACCAGCACCTAGAGCAGCAGCCTCACCAGCACCTGGGGTAGCAGACACTCTAGCACCTAGAGCGGTAGCCTCACCAGGTCGAATGCCCGGTTCGGGCGGAACACTCAGGTACTGGGCACCCTCTCCACTAATAGACATCACATACATGGCAGAGAGAATAGCATCAAATTCTAGAGCAAAGATATCAATGTTTTGCTTCATCAGATCAGCCCAGCGGGGCAGCTCAGTGGCGTCAGGGAACTGAGTACGCCAAGCGTTGTCAAGGCGTGAGAAGCAGCGCTGCGTGGGGTGCGCCCTCCCACACGTCTGACCAGTGCGGTCACCAGTGCGGATGACGTACGTGCAGCTAAGGCCACCACCCCCCCCCCCCCCCCCCCCGTGCCGAGTGTACCACTTACGGAGCTCCTGGGGCGACGGAGAGTGCTGTAGGCTGTGGCCACCACCAGTGTCGCCACGACCACCACTGCCGCCACCACCGCCTCGACCACCTCCTCCCCTGCCGCCGCCACGTCCACCGCCGCCTCCACCACCGCTCCCGCCCCTGCCACCGCCCCCGCCGTTGCCGCCACCACCCCCACCGCTGCCACTAGCTCCACCAGTCCCACCACCACCCGCACCGCCGCCACTACCCCCACCACCGCCTCCCCCGCCGTCACCTCCGCCTCCCTTGCCCCCTTTGCCCTTGCCGCTGCGACGCCCGCTCGAGGCAGACGCGGCCCCGACCTTCTCAAAACCAAGAAGGTCGACAACAGAAGCAGAGGCTACAGAGGGAAGAAGGGGGGAAGGGGAACACCCCTCAATGAAAGGGGTGCGGGGGTCACTACGAGAGGCACCTGCAGCGACTATGCTAGCCTCAGCTGCAAGCAGTTCCTTCTCGAGGAGGGCAATGGTGAGCTCAGTGGGGCAGCGAGCTAGGAAGTGATCCTTGACAGCACGCAGAGTGTCAGGGAGGCGAGTGACGATGTGGTAGAGAGTGAGCCAGAGCGGGGGAGGGTTCTTGGCAGGAAACTCATCATGCATGGCGGCACGGAAGCGGGCCTCACTAGTACGGAGGTGCGTGATGAGGTCAGCGACTGTGTGGAACGAGGCCAGATCGGGAAACAGGTAGGGGAGTGAGAGACGGCCTAGCGTGGCAGAGGCAGGTGAGGAGTAGCGGGCAACGACAGCTGTGTACAGTGCTTATGCAGTCTTGTGCTGGCCAAAGTGCTCGCGCTCGTCTATCGGCACGGAGTTGCGAATAGCGAAGCAAGCGTGGGCATCACGAGTCTGCCACTGTGAGCGGGTAGTGCTGTCAGCAGTAGCAGCAGGAGCAGTAGCATGGCCTAGGGTGTGATCGTACAGTGAGATGTCCTCCTTGGCAGTGAGGTGTAGGTCATCTAGCCAGGTTTTGAGCTTCACTGGGCGGCCCTCAGCATCGAAAGCTAGCACATGAGGGCCAGCC